CTCTCCAAGAACTCCTGCGGAGAAACACCTTCACGTAGAGCACCACCATCCAGGGGATGGGAAGAATTCGCATTCTGAGCAACTCAACAGGAATGACAGAGGAGAAGGTCTAGAGATGGGAGATGGGTCCAAAGTCATGTTTGTAAGGACTAGACAGGGGGATATTTTAAAGACCTTCTCTAGTCTACCCAAAGACCAAATGGGGAGTTCTAGGGAGGCTAAGAGAATCACGCAGACATACCCATGCCCAGGCCAGAGAATGAATGCTGAGGACACAGGCAAATTATTCCCGGGGAAAGGAATCCCAAGAATTGTAAAAGTTACGTGTAGAGAGTGTGGACAAGGCTTTAGTGCTAAGGCAAACCTTATCACACACCAGAGGACACACTTGAGGGAAAAGCCCTATGTCTGCAGGGAGTGTGGAAGAGGATTTAGCCTGAAGTCAGTCCTCATTATACACCAGAGGACACACTCAGGGGAAAAGTCGTATGTCTGTAGAGAGTGTGGACGAGGCTTTAGTAAGAAATCAAACCTCATTATACACCAGGGGACGCACTCAGGGGAGAAACCCTATGTCTGCAGGGAGTGTGGGAGAGGTTTTAGTCAGAAGTCAGTCCTCATTACACACCAGAGGACACACTCAGGGGAGAAACCCTATGTCTGCAGGGAGTGTGGACGAGGCTTTAGTCAGAAATCAAACCTCATTACACACCAGAGGACACACTCAGGGGAGAAACCCTATGTCTGCAGGGAGTGTGGGAGAGGTTTTAGCCAGATGTCAGATCTCATTACACACCAGAGGACACACTCAGGGGAGAAGCCCTATGTCTGCAGGGAGTGTGGGCAAGGGTTTAGTCGGAAGTCACACCTTGTCACACACCAGAGGACACACTCCGGGGAAAAACCCTATGTCTGCAAGGAGTGTGGGAGAGGATTTAGCCTGAAATCGACCCTCATTATACATCAGAGGACACACTCAGGGGAGAAGCCCTATGTCTGCAGGGAGTGTGGACGAGGCTTTTGTCAGAAATCAATCCTCATTATACACCAGAGGACACACTCAGGGGAGAAGCCCTGTGTCTGCAGGGACTGTGGACGAGGCTTTAGTCAGAAATCACACCTCATTATACACCAGAGCACACACTCAGGGGAGAAGCCCTATGTCTGCAGGGAGTGTGGACGAGGCTTTAGTCAGAAGTCAGTCCTCATTACACACCAGAGGACACACTCCGGGGAGAAGCCCTATGTCTGCAGTGAGTGTGGACGAGGTTTTAGTGCTAAGTCAAACCTCATTAAACACCAGAGGACACACTCAGGGGAGAAGCCCTATGTCTGCAGGGAGTGTGGACGAGGTTTTAGCCAGAAATCAAACCTCATTAAACACCAGAGGACACACTCAGGGGAGAAGCCCTATGTCTGCAGTGAGTGTGGACGAGGCTTTAGTCAGAAATCAAACCTCATTATACACAAGCGGACACACTCAGGAGAGAAGCCCTATGTCTGTAGGGAATGTGGACGAGGCTTTAGTCATAAGTCATACCTCAATATCCACCAGAGGACACACTTAGAGGAGAAGCCCTATGTCTGCAGTTAATGTGGGAGAGGATCTAGTCAGAAGTCAGACACCGTTAAACACCAGAGGACACACTCGGGAGAAGCCCTATGTCTGCAGGGAGTCTGGGCGAGACTTTGGTGATAGTTCACACCTCATTGGACACAGGAGAAGAAAATACTGCCAACACACACCTCCATGTCCCCAGCTTTGAGAGGCTTCAAAGCAAGTCCCCAAGAGAGTGAAGAGCACAGAAATAAGTGGGTAAGCAGATCCTCCATTTTCATGTCAAGGCAAGATGTCAGGAAATCCCAAGGGTTCCTGAAGTGGGCAGGTGGTTCTGCCAATCCTCTCCCATGATGCTTTAGTCTTTTGTAGTAAATATTGCTTTCACACAGAGCTGTAGTCCAAGCCACATACCTTACTCCCTCATCAGAGAAGACACCGAGAACTCACATTGTCAGCCCAGATTTCCACAGCACTTTGGTCCCTGAAAAGGTGAAGTGTAGAATCTGACCAAATGATTGGAGCATCTAATGTGGACCTGGGTAGAGAAGTTGGGACCTTCTGAGAAGGGAGCACTTTGATTCCCTGGGAAGTATAGCCCCCTCTCTCAAGACCACTCCATCACGAACCACCTGGAAGCATAGTTCTCTGGCTTAATGCCCCTCGGGTCCTTGAACCACATTTCTCATAGAACACCAATCTAGGCCTCTCCCGTTGTCTTTGCTCCAACCAACCTCTCCTCAGACCATCGTGTCAGCCGTACCACAGAATACCAGGAAAAGCATGTTTACTGAAGAGCTCCAAAACTCAGAACCACATGGGTAGGAATACTTTAAAGGTTTGAATCCTTATAGCTAGTGGAACTTGTAGTGAGAGTAAAAAATTGTGTACGTTTCAATTTCTGGGCGTGGTGGCCTGGAATTGACGACTTGGGTGAGACCAAAGAGCAAGACCAAGTGGGGGAGCAGACACACCATGGATAATCACTGCGGGAACCTCAGAGCAAAGGTGGATAATACACTTTGTCGGTTTTGCTTTGCTCTGATTTTCTTTTTTTGTTATCTGTTCATTGGCCACCCACTGTTTGCACAGCTCCATTCTGGTGACTAGAGGGGTCGCTGAACAAGTGGGCAGCCCCCATCCTCACTCTCACTGGTGGGTTCTTCTGCCACGAATGCAGCTTGGCTTCTGCTGTTTGACACGGTCCCAGGACAAGGACAAACGTCATGCAAAGCAGATGATTCTCAGAAGCTGGCTTCTGTCTTCTCTCTAGGATAACTCTGAATTCACTTGTAAAAATATATAATATGGCCATATTCACAGCCTTTACTGCAGGCCTTGGGAAGAAACCGAGTTGGCAATAATTGTTTCAACTTCATTGGTTTGAATTCAAAGGGAATTGTATGAGCCACTTCCGCTCACAGAAAACCTAAGTACAAAGTAACTGCATTTATGAGATCACAAAAGCAGATAACAAACTGAAGTAAAGTTGTGCGACCCCTACAGACCTCACCACAATCAATTACCACCTGGAATCCACAGATCCCCACTATTACATACAGGCACCTACGTAAGTAGGCAGAGAGTAGTGAATATAAGTGAAAAATAGTCTAAATTTAATAATCTACATTTCCTGCAGCAATTAGTTTGGGCCTTATGCCTCAGAGCTTTAGAAAGAAAGGAGGACAGGTACACTGTGGTTAAGCAATCTAATGAATACTTTAGAAAACAAAATAA